CTTGGAAAAGTAGCAAGTAGTCATTTGTTAAACAATTTGAGCCCACAAAATATTGAATATTTTCAAGATTTGTTGGATACCCAAAGGAGCATTAATATGCCTCCATGGGGAAGAAAAATATTCCTGATATAGAACTTAAAGAGCAATATATCAATAAGTACAAATCAATAGCTTATAAAAAAGAATGACCAAGTACTGACCAGCTTCTTCAGAAAGCTTTCTAAGCAATAAGATAAACTAGAAGGATAGTAGTGGTATGTGTATAAAAGGACAAAGAAAAAAATTCGATTGCAGAGCACATAAAGCCATATAAGAATTTTTTTAAAATAAAGCAAACAAGATTTGTGAATATTTTAATTTTTCCTACTTTTTCGCATCTCATTTTGGTTTTGGTTACAATATATTTTTGTATGAAACTAATAATATCCAAGAACAGTAGAAACAAGAACCAGATGGACTGGTCCAATATTGGGATTTTGGCACAAGTAGTGGGGGCAGAACAGTTAGTATAATGAAGGGACCCTGTGACAATGATAGTTAAATGATCACTCTGGACAAGAATTGAGTGCTGAGAGTAGGTACAGGTGTGTGTGTGTGTGTGTGTGTGTGTGTGTGTGTGTGTGTGTGTGTCTTTGTGTGTGTGTGTGTGTATCCAGAGAGGAGAGACAGAAAGAGAGAGAGAGAGAGAGAAAGAGAGAGAGAGAGAGAAAGAGAGAGAGAAAGAGAGAGAGAAAGAGAGAGAACTGCCTGCCATAGAGGCAGGCTTGTGTAGGGGTGGAAGATGGGGGCGGTGATGGGAGAAAAGCTGGGGACATTGGTGGTGAGACATGTACACTGGTGAAAGGATGGTATCAGAGCATCCTATGACTGAAACACAATCAGTCATATCAAATTTTTAAGTGTGTATCTCACGATGATTCAATAAAAAATTTTATTATGTTTTTAATATTTTTCTATGTCATTTCATAAACTAATTTTTTCAGCACCATTAGCTATTCACTCAAATTTTTAGCCAGGGGTAGTTTAGGTACAATGACATGTATTTATTCATTCAAGATTTCTTTAAAAACATATGTTTCACAAAAGTAAGAATTGAATTTATTTTACAAAGGCTTGTTTTAAGACTAGTTATCTTAGTGATAATCTGTGTATCTAAAAATGTAAAATGAGAAAAGAAAATTAACTTTAGAAACAAGGGTTATTTTATTTTTTTAATCACATAATTTGAAGAGTATTTTTTAAAGACTGTATCTGTACCTTTCTTTCATATGTTCCTATTTAATAGTGTCTTCAAATAGAAATAAGTGAAATTTTAATTTTAACTTTATAATTTTGAAAATTGTCATTAGAATAAAGTTTTTAAAAAGGCATCTAATTAGTCATTCTCAGAACTTCATGAACTTCTCTTAGAAGAAGATTGCATATAATTAATTTTATATGCCCTATTTGGCGAAAATAAATTAGCTAATAGCACTGTAGCACTGTCCCCCAGTTGTTCATTGTTTTGCTCGAGCGGGCCCAGTAACGTCTCCATTGTGAGACTTGTTGTTACTGTGTTTGGCATATAGAATATGTCATGGGTAGCTTGCCAGGCTTTGGCTTGTCAGGATTTGCCGTGAGGGCGAAATACTCTCGGTAGCTTCCCGGGCTTTTTGAGAGGGGTGGAGGAATCGAACCCGGCTCAGCCAGGCCGGCAGCTTGCAAGGCAAACATCCTACCACTATACTATTGCTCCAGCCCAATTAACAACAAATTAGCTAATAGTGGGAAATATATGAAGTAACTTATATAACACAGTCGTTTTCTCTTTGTTCCCTCAAATATCTTTTAACTTGTAATATACTTTGCACAAGATGCAGTTATGCCTAAATTACATTTTTGTTATCCTCTATGTAGGATGCCAGAAATATTTATGTACTAATTGGGGCTGGAGGGATAGCACAGCGGTAGGGTGTTTGCCTTGTGCGCAGCCGGTCCAGCAGAGCCGGGTTCCATTCCTCTGCTCCTCTTGGCGAGCCCGACAAGCTACCTAGAGTCCCCCGCCTGCTTGGCAAAGCCTAGAAAGCTACCTGTGATGTATTCAATATGCCAAAAACAGTAACAACAAGTCTCACGATGGAGGTGTTACTGGGCCAACTTGAGCAAAATCAATGAACAATGGGAGGACAGTGACAGTGACTAGGACCTAATTATTTTTTATTAACTGTTTTGACTCGTAAGTTAAATGAACTTATGGAAAAAACCTTAAGAGTTATAAAAAACATAATATCCAGTAAAATTTTTATGTTATTTGAATATATGAATAGGTTCATTTTTTGTTATAGCTTCATCCTTGGCTATAGTTCTGTATTCACTGTGGTCATATATAAGTTTGATTATACAATAAGCTTAATTACTTTGATTTAATTTATTTCTAATTTTATTGGTTATAGATATATGTCAATGTATTAGAATAGAATAAGTAATAATACTTTTATGGGGGAATTATATATCTTTTCATTTTGTAGAGTGCCTAAACCTATATCTGATATATATGTATGTATCATATCAATACAGAACTATATATATATAATATGTAGCTAAAATTTGTGAATAACTAAATCAGATCATGGATAAATTATTGACCAACAGTCAATAAAAAGCCTTCACCACTAAAAGAAAGTACAAATATATACCAATTAAAAGAATGAATCAATAGTATCACATTTTTTTTTGGTTTGATTTTTTTTTAGGGGGAGCTAGTCTCAGCTATACTCAGGGCTTAATATTTGGCTCTATTCAGACATCACTCCTGGCAGTGCTCAGGGGACCATATGTGGTACATGCAAAAAATGCATTTAAATCCCTGTACTATCTCTCCAGTCCCTCAATAGTTTAATTTTTTATCATGAGATAAAGCTTTTTATTTAAGGAAGCAGGTAGTAATACTGATATACTTACCATCAGCTACTGAGAGTATTTCGCCCGCAGGGCAGAGCCTGGCAAGCTACCCGTGATGTATTCAATATGCCAAACACAGTAACAACAAGTCTCATGATGGAAACATTACTGGGCCTGCTTGAGCAAATCGATGAACAACGGGAGGACTGTGACTGACTGTGACTGTAATAAGTTGCAAAATTTTAGTTTGAGAAGTTGTACTAGGGTACACATAGGTATTTCTAAAGCAAATAACTTTCAAGAATTCCTCACTTCAAAATCAATTGTTAGCTTGAAGGTTATAAACACGTACCTGCCATTTATTTCACTATTTTACGATTTCTTAAAATAATCTGTGTGATCACATAGGGACCAAATATGAGTACCACTCACGAAAACAGATTTGTTTATAAGAGGTTTAATCTGATATTTTTAAGAATACCCTTAATGAGTTAAGGACGTAGAATCACTCTTGGCATGCCTAAATTCCAGAATACAGAAGTTGACTAAAGTTTTAGCTTAGTGAATACAAAAATATGAATCAATAGATTAGCGCATTTGTGTATGTGCTATGTACACACAATATACTTAGTGTAAAATTATTTATGTGTCTCTATTACCACCAACATAATTCTTGTTTCTTGAACTTTAGGATGATCATATTTTTCATAGTTTCCAATCATTTACTTTTTCATCATCTGTTTTTTAGGGAAAAATTATCATTATGCTTTTAAAATTTTGACTTCAGATGTTTCTTTTGAGTTTAAGGTTTGTCCTCAATATCCACTCTTGTCATCTTACATTCTTACTAAAATGACACACTTGTATATCTCACTATCTTTCTAACAATGTTGCCACATAGACTTCTTTGAATTTTTAAAACTGCAGTCACAGGTGTATGAGGATATATCATTTTGTGTCTTGTTTTTGCACCTGTGCCCATCAGTCTGTAGCACATAATCACTCACATGAATTTCTTCAGAGTTAGAATAATCATTGAGTCATTTTTCACAATATTTAGAAAATAATGAAAATAAATGTGTTTTGTATATTAATGCCTAAATATGACTGTTTTAGTTAAAATATGGATAACAGTCATAAAGTCTATTCTGGGATTATCAATAAACAATTTGGTTCATTGGTATATTTTTATTTGTTTTTTTGTTGATGCCCAGCTGCACGTAGGGCTTTTTTCCTGGCTCTATGCTTAGGGGTCACTGCTGGTGGGTCTTTGGGGACTGTATGTGGTGCTATGTAATAAACCAGGGTCAGCTGCACATAAGACAAGTGTCTTACCTGCTGTCCTATCTCTCCTGTCCCATGTGTATTTCTATATCTCCATGAAACAGAGTTGTTTATGTTGTATTAGGACAATAATATTTGTTAATTATGCATTTTTCTTTTTGAATAGAAATCAAACATGCTTACCTTTAAATGCTTTAAACGCAGTATTTTCTCACAGGAGTGTAAATAACTGAATATTAAATATGTGATAGGTTGCAAAACTAGTTATCTCCTATCTGTGCTAGACTACACCATGCTTGTGTGGGTTACTATCTTATTATCTTCATGTGATATGGTAATGATGGTGGCTGAATTTGTAACACTTAACATAGGACTCACTAAAGTGATTGATTATCTAGTACACTATACTAGGATGCTACTATTTTTTATAATGGGAACGTTAATACTGACTCTAATATCAGAACTCATGAAGGAACTGTTCTTGATCTAGATCATCACATTGATTTTCCTATAACTGTTGGTGGGTTTTGCTCTGTTGAACCTCAAAATCCAATTATCTTGATAATAAGAGAAGATTATGAATAATTATGTGGGTTACTTACATAAAAGTGATAAGTATAAAATATGTGAATCTTAGTATCAGTACTGTTTATTTATACTGGCATTTTAAAATAATAATAATAGTAAGGGAATCATGCACTCTGCAAAAACACTTTCTGTTACACATAAACTTCATTTTCTGACTTTAATGTTTATCAGCATGTTCAGAAGCATTTAGAGCTGCTTACACACTCCTTTATGATTCTCTTATTGAATAAATACATTGTGCTTTGCAGGTTTATTTCAAGCTGTTGGCTTGTGGGAGTCTGAGAGATGCTGTTGTCCATGACATTTTGGAATTATCATGATCAACTACCCAGTTTGGATTCCACCCAATGGTCAAGAGCTTTGCATGGTAGACATCAAGAGTTGGATTTTTAAACAGAGTAAACCAGGTAAGACTTGAGAAGACATCTGATCATTTATCAATTGCTCCAAAGGTTCAGATGTTACAAAGAAATAATGTGTAACTTTTATATTTGTTTTCTAAGTTCAAAGAATGCCTTAATGAAGAGCTATGTTCCTATGGATTCAGGAGAATGTACATGATAATACTGACTCCCCTTTTCTCTCAAGAAGAGAGAGGAGTCAGGCTATACATAAAGTATATATAAGAATATGTAACCACAAAATAAATAAGTGAGCAGTCGTGGCAGTGGAGGTTTCTTGCCTGACATATGCATTCTGTGGCAATGTGCTGCTATCCCACCTTGGCCTACAATGACCACAGCCAACAGATATATAAAGGTGGAAACAGGGCCGCCAGGCTGGTTGGTGATCAGATGTCATTTATTCCATTCTACCCATGCACCTGTTTCAGTCTCAGTAAGCGCCCCATTCCAGTCTCACACTGGCCCTCCTGCCAGTCTCCTCCTGCCCCCATGCTAGTCTCTCTATGTTCCATCTTGCAGCCTTAGTCTAGCCCTCACTATCTCCAAGCACTGGGGACAGTAACTATACCTAGGTGAAGTAGCACAATCAACATATGAAAGCCCCTTCCTTCAGAGGGAAGGTCTTTTAAGATAAGTCAAAGATATCCTGCAGCTAAGAGATCTCAAGGATGAAATACCATTTAGGAGTGTGTTTCTCCTTTCCTTAGTCCAACAACCATCTTAGATTTACTTACTTCTAAATAATCTTTCTAGTCATTTTGTATGGACACAGTAAGAGATGTATTAAGTTTGTAGTATGGCTATCTCACTATAGATCCCAGATTACAGTATTAAAACCAAATTAGTCTTTCCTAACCCTAGCAAGGTCCTGATCCAGTTTGTTACTCTTTGAGTCAGGACAGAATTTGTCTATGACCATGCTCTTAACTTATAGTCACGTCTTATGTTGCTTCACCTGGCGTGTTTCTATGCCAGGGTAGCTCACAGCTTACCCTGGATCCATCCAGTCTGCTTATGGGGTGTTAGGAAGTAAGGGTAACTAAGGCTTAAGTTGAGAAAACAAAAGTCCAGGAGTGAATATTATCCGGAGTCAATTAACTCCCAGGTTACAAAAGCATGACATTGCCTTTTTTCCTGTGTGTATAGGAAAAGGACATTGCTCTAAAGTAAACTATGCAAAAGGACATAAGGGAAGGAGGAAAGCAATATTTCACTTACAATCACAAAATTAGAGATTTCTGAGGAATTTGACTTTACAAGTTACAGGTACTGCTTAGAGGAAATGGGTGATTAACCAATTGGGAAAGAGAGTACAGAGAAAAGGTTAAAAGTAAACACAGAGAAATGGGAGTGCTTTGGGAGCACTGTGATAGGTCTAACCCAATAAATTTAAGCTCCCTGCAACCAGGTAGAAAGGACAAACCAATGTTATCCTACACAAGAATACCATGGGTTAAAAGTACAGGGAATAGTTTTTAAAAATAACCATTATGAAGTATAAAGTAATAATGTTACTTTTGCAGGTGCAATAAAAAAGCATTGACTTTCAGTATGTGTATTTTATGTTATATAGAATATATTTATTCATAACACATAAACTTACAAATACACTTGAAATTACTTCAAGTTAGAAGATTATAGCATTATACTACCTCTTAATTTATTTTAAAGTACCTTAAATTTTGTTCTTATGTTATTTAAAATGATGTACAATGGCATGTTCAATTACAATGGGTCCTAGGTTTTAGAACAATACATACATTTTAAGTATCATTTTTCACTTTCTATTGCATTCTAAAGAAGTTCTTAACTATCAGACATAGTTTGGTTAGTTCTTTATATATCTCTCTTTGATTATCCTCTAAAACATAATTTAAATGTGTTATCAACAATTTTGGAGAGAACTCATTAGTTATTCTTGTTCACTGATGTTAGGATTGTTAAAGCTTTTATAGTTTTTTCTTAAATTTTATTTCTCCCAAGGGAAATATTTTAAGTGAAATTACAGAACAAAAAATATAAGTAAAATTTATCCATTTAGAAGGATATTATTAAACAATATTGTTTGTCCTTTTTAATTGGGCATATGAATTACCCAAATGTAGAAGAGTTTTGCCCATCTGTAAATAAATAAATGTCATCAAAATTCAAGATACTTTTGTTGGATAAAAATTCAATGTAGTTTCATAAGAGGTTGTAATTGGTATTAAGAATAACCAGCGACTTGAATGATAGTACTTTGAGTATGTGATTTGCCTTGCACACAACTGACCCGAATTTGATACCTGGCACCACACATGATCCCCTGAGCCCTCCAGGAGCAATTCCTGAACACAGAGCTAGGAATAAGCCCTGAGCACTTCCAGGTGTGCCATCCCCCAAAAGAAGAGAGAGATGAAGATCCAAGTAATAAGATTTTTTTTACTATTTTTTTTTTTAGTGAAACACCATGAGGTACAGTTGTAGATTTACAATTTTTTGTGCTTGGGTTTCGATTCTACAATGATCAGATACCCATCCCTCCACCAGTGCCCATTTTCCACCACCATGGATAATATCCCTCCCATCCCCATCCCCCCATCCCCCCTGTCTCTGTGGCAGGGCAATCCCCTGTGTTCTCTCTCTCCTTTTGGGTGTTGTGGTCTGCAAAAGAGGCATTGAGTGGCAAACATGTTCAGTCCATAGTCTACTTTCAACATGCATCTCCCCTCCTGGGAGGATCCTCCAAACATCTTTTATTTGGTGTTCCCTTCTCTATCTGAACTGCCCTTGCCTCTAGGATACCCGGCTGGCCTCTAAGTTATGGAGTAATACTCCTGGTGCTGATCTCAGCTATTCTTGGGTATTAATCTCATACTTTGTTACTTTATATCCCCCAGATGAATGCAATCTTTCTATATCTATCCCTCTCTTTCTGACTCATTTCGCTTAGCATGATACTTTCCATATTGTACCACTTGTATGTAAATTTCATGACTTCATCTTTTCTAACAGCTACATAGTACTCCATTGTGTAGATGTACCAAAGTTTCTTTAACCAGTCATCTGTTCTTGGGCATTCAGGTTTCTTCCAGTTTCTGGCTATTGTAAAGAGTGCTGCAATGAACAAACAAGTGCAGATGCCACTTCGATTATACATTTTTGCCTCTCTGGGATATATTCCCTGGAGTGGTATTGCTGGGTCAAATGGGAGCTCAATTTCTAACTTTTTGAGAATCGTCCATACTGTTTTCCAGAAGGGCTGAACCAGTCGACATTCCCACCAACGGGGAAGGAGTGTCCCTTTCTCGCCACATCCATGCCAGCATCGGTGGCTTTTGTTCTTTTGAATGTGGGTCAGTCTCTGAGGTGTGAGATGGTATCTCATTGTGGTTTTGATCTGCATCTCCCTGATGATTAATGATGTAGAGCATTTTCTCATGTGCTTTTTTGCCATTCGGATTTCATCTTTGAGAAAGTTTCTGTTCATTTCATTGCCCCATTTTTGGATGGGGTTGGATGTTTTCTTCTTGTGGAGTTTAACCAGTATTTTATACATCCTGGATATCAACCCCTTGTCAGATGTGTATTCGGTGAATATCCTTTCCCATTCTATAGACTGTCTTTGCATTTTGGTCACTGTTTCTTTGGAGGTGCAGAAGCTTCTTAGTTTAAGATAGTCCCATTTATCTATCTCTGTTTTCACTTGCTTGGCCAGTGGTTTGTCATCCTTGAAGATACCATTAGCTTCAATGTCATGGAGGGTTTTGCCAACTTTATCTTCAATGTACCTTATGGTTTCTGGTCTGATGTTGAGGTCTTTAATCCATTTTGATCTTTTGTACACGGCGTTAGGCAGAGTTCTGAGCCTATTTTTTTTGCATGTAGCCGTCCAGTGATGCCAGCACAATTTGTTAAAGAGGCTTTCCTTACTCCACTTCACATTACTTGCACCTTTATCAAAGATTAGATGATCATATGATTGAGGGGAGATATCAGTGTATTCAACCCTGTTCCATTGGTCTGCAGTTCTGCCTTTGTGCCAGTACCATGCTGTTTTAATTATTACTGCTTTGTAGTGCAGTTTGAAGTTTGGGAGGTTGATTCCTCCCATTTTCTTTTTCCCAAGAATTGCTTTAGCTATTTGTGGGGGCTTATTGTTCCATATAAATTTCAGGAGTGTTTGCTCCATTTCTTTGAAAAATGTCATGGGTATCCTTATAGGGATGGCATTGAATTTATACAATGCTTTCGGTAGTATTGCCATTTTGACAATGTTAAGTCTCCTGACCCATGAGCAGGGGATATTTTTCCATTTCCTCATGTCCTCTTTTATTTCCTGAAGTAGCGTTTTGTAGTTTTCTTTGTACAGGTCCTTTACTTCCTTAGTTAAGCTGATTCCTAGGTACTTGATTTTCTGGGGCACAATTGTGAACGGAATTGTTTTTTTCATGTTGCTTTCTTCTCTATCACTGTTTGCGTATAGGAAAGCCATGGACTTTTGGGTATTGATTTTATAACCTGCAACTTTACTATACGAGTCTATTGTTTCTAGGATTTTTTTGGTGGAGGTTATTGGGTTCTCTAAGTAGAGTATCATATCATCTGCGAATAGTGAGAGCTTGATTTCTTCCTTTCCTACCTGAATGCCCTTAATATCTTTTTCTTGCCTAATCGCTATTGCAAGTGTTTCCAGTACTATATTGAACAGCAGTGGAGAGAGTGGGCATCCCTGTCTCATCCCTGATCTTAGAGGGAAGGCTCTCAGTTTTTCCCCATTGAGGATGATGCTTGCTGTAGGCTTGTGGTAGATGGCTTTAATTATGTTGAGGAAGGTCCCCTCTATACCCATTTTGGCTAGGGTTTTCATCATAAAGGGGTGCTGGATCTTGTCAAATGCTTTCTCTGCATCTATTGATATAATCATATGCTTTTTATCTTTTCTTTTGTTGATATGATGGATAATGTTGATTGATTTTCTAATGTTAAACCATCCTTGCATCCCTGGGATGAATCCTACTTGA